AGTAACACAAATACAGAAATTAAAATTATTAAATTCCTTAAGTTTGTTATTAATCCTGTATTTGTAAATAATGATTCTGGAAATTATAATGTTAGCTTATAAACGTAAATATAAATAAAACAGAAATTAATTCGAGCCCACTGAATTCACAGTGTTTCCTTAAGGAATTTAATCTCCTCCTAGTACCCAAGGTTATGGATTATTTCCTCCCAGGATAGAACGAATTACACATTGGTGTAGCGGTACTTCAAACCCCAGTGTTTCAGCGAACACAAAGTTCGGCAGCAAATCACACTTACGGATGCTTTGTTTGTAGTTTAAAACAATGAAGAAAAAGGGAGGAGAACTCAGAAGTCGAATGGAAATTCTGAGAGGAAGGAAATGCAATTTATAGCCAATGTTGAGCGATAACAGAAGAGGAAATCAGATTGCTCGTTGCTTTCTGTTTTCTGTCCATTTTTTTTTCTGTGTGTTTCAACAATTTGTTCACCATCTATTTATAGTGCAGTTCCACTCATTTAGTGGAGCACTTTTTTCATGGTGGATGTAGCACCAATCTGTTATAATGGAGCATTATGTATGGTGGCATTATGTATGGTGGAATGAGCACTTGTTGCTGGAACAGATCCACGGATTTGGAATACATCCGTTAAAAATACGGATATTATTACGTTAATATTTACTATTAACAAATAAATTTGGTGCAAAAAATTAATCAATCAATCATTTGACCAAATCCGAAGCCGAAGCCGAAGCCGAGCCGAGCGAGCGACGACGACGGCGCGAGGCTTGCCTTCTTCCTAACTCTTTAAGAGCTACATGAAGTGCATTTGTATATAAACCCATCAAACTCCTTTTCCTCTACCAATGAGGGACAATGTCTCATTAAAAGGAGAGGGAAACTTAAAATTTTACTCAAAATTTTCATTTCCTTCCATTTCCCATTCACCCTCTTTTTAATACCTTTCTATATTAAAAAGAAACTCAACACTGTCCTAAGAAACTATTTCAGCAATGTGAATTTTTTTCACATGATTAAACAAGCCCATCTCTATTTATTTAGAGGATATAGAAATCAGCAAAATATTAATAATAAATCCGGCAAGTTGAAAAACTGTAAAAGAAATAACTTGTGAATGACAATTTGGACGAAATGGTACTACAGAAGAAAGCTTAATAATTGCTATGATAATGGCTACATAGTTAGGTAATGATTGAACCACAAAGGTGAAGATAGATTTCCTTTCTTTTGTTGATGTTTCGGATGGGGCAGATTGTGGCTTTATATAAGCAAGAATGATGATGGTAATCTTAGACAAGTGGTTTAACACTTGTCCATGAACAAACATGCAAGATGTCACTTTTTCTCTTGGAAGGATACTTAGACAAAATAAGCCATTTATTCATAGTTACTTTGAAATATTACCACATGCAAAAGCTCTTGCCATGTACCAATTATCTAAGAGTATTTGGCTACAAGTCTTCATGCAAGAAGCCACTTGGAAATAGATAGAACACTTGTAAAATTAAAAAGACACATGGCTATTTAAAATTTTAAAAATACTACCACATGTGTTTCACCTCTAATAAGCAAATATTTTCTTTTTGTTTGTGTTTTTGTTTTCAAATTTGTAAGAAAGATTTTCTTTTTTTAATGCAAAGGGGGAAAATGGTTTTTTGCTTGATGGGATTATTGAACATTTAGATGATATATTTTAGGTAGAACAGATAGAGGGTAATAGTGTGAAATTCAAGAAATTGATTGGTTGATATGGGTCTATTCAACAAAAAAAATAAAAAATAAATTATAATATATATATTTTAAATTTAAAAAACTCTTCTTGGAGGAGAGAAAAATGTTTATCTTAATTGAAATTTGTTTAGTTTTTTGATGTATACAAGTTTGATCATACCATAGGTATGGGATGTGAAAAGATGCTAACTTATTTGATAGTGTTTATCTACTTTCAGACTCAATTCTACTGCAAAAGATTGGTATGTGGTATATTAGAATGTGCATGACCCGTATCAAATTGCTTTACAGACTACGTATGACAAACTCTCTGTGTTGAATCCTAAAGGTATATCATTTACTGGACTACATTGGTGAACACTATGCGTGCGTTATTTGATTGCATATGTTCCATTTGTTGTTTGCTAATATTAGTGTAACTTTGTGTTAACACGAAAATAATAAATATAGTGTATAGTTTTTTCAGAATCAAACAGAATTATAAATATTACTCTAACGAAGTAATAAACTATTTGGAACAGAAATGCTCACAAACGAAGATATTGTGTTGCGTAGACTACAAAAGACTAAGGAACAGCGACTCGCTGCTAGAAATTCACGACGTCGCACTAGATATGCACAAATGTCAGCTGAGAGAAAGCAATCATTTTTGTTGCAACTGCAAGCTAAAAGAGCTGAATCAAAAAGGCGGCGACTTTCTCATCTTTCAAGTAATTCACCATTTTTGATGGAAATTGATATTCAACCTCACAAACAAAGTGCTCTTCCAATTGTTGATCCTTCATTAGCTTCTGAAGAAGGTTAGAAAAGTGTGCTGTTGTCTTACTTCTCAGTGACATCTTTATATGAAAAATACTTATATACACACATAATGTCGTATGTGTATATATAGGTATTCTTTGGTGCATAAAAATCTACAATCATTAAAGTGACTTTTAAAAATCTACAATCATTAAAGTGACTTTTTCTTTCATTTATTAGGTCATGATTCTGCAGCTACAAATATACCAATTATTGTCGATGAAGAAAATAATATGAATGGTCGCAGCTCCATCCTTGAAGTCCGTGAGTCCAAAAATAATACTTCAAATATTCCAACTGTAACTATTCCAATATTAGGATCAGGATCAGCATCAGGTGCATTTGGAAAAGTTTCTACTCCAGCAGTTACCGCAGATAGAGGTATGTATCTATCTGCTAAGGCAATAATCTCATAAGCTCATATTACTCTTTTTCTTTTATTAGTTTGAGCTTAATTGGACCTTATAATATTATTTGAGGCTTGAATTATTTCCTTGTATTTTTAGGAAACCCATAGTCCCTATAGGTTTAGGAAAACCCATTGTCCTAATAGATTTGAGAAAGGAAAACCTATAGTCCTTGTCAAATTGGGAAACTTTTTTCATATATGTTTGGGACCTTTTGGGATCTATATATAGGGGTTGTAGTTGGGGATTCTATAGATTGTATTGTGCTTTTCTTCTCATTCATAGTGGAAAACTCTCTCTGCTTTTGCCCCGAGGGTTAGGCTTAGCCGAACCTCGTTAAATCCTTGTGTTGATTTTTCTTCTCTATTTACTTTGTGTGTGATTGTGTGCTAGTTAACTCACGATATTCCGCAATAATTGGTATCAGAGCAAGGTTCAGGTTTCTACATATAATCTAGGGTTAAGATGTCTTCATCATCTTCAACAAAGTTCGAAGTAGAGAAATTTGACGGAGGTTCTAGTTTCAGTCTATGGAAGATTAGGATGAAATCGTCCCTGGTGTTACAAGGATTATGGAAAGCAGTTGATGAGGATTTTCCTGAAAATATGAAAGAGACAAAGAAGGAAGACTTGAAGGAGAGGGCTTTGAGTGCGATCTTCATGAGCGTTACAGATAGCGTTCTTCGGGAAATTGCTGAAGAAACTTCTGCAGCAACGGCATGGAAGAAGCTGGAAGATCTATATTCTAAGAAATTGCTGACAAACCTCCTCTACCTTAAAAAGAGGTTATGCAATCTCCGTATGAATGAAGGTACACCTGTTAGAACTCACCTTGATGAGTTTAATTCAATTATAATGGACCTGAAGAATGTGGATATCAAAATTGAGAGTGAGGATCAGGCCTTGTTTGTGTTATATTCTTTACCATAGTCTTATGATACTTTTGCCGATACACTGCTATATGGGAAAGACAACATTTCACTAGAAGATGTTAGTAATGCACTAAAAATCTAAAGAGTTGAAAAAGAGCTTTTCAGACAGCAGAATTGAGGGCGAGGGTCTTGTGATTAGAGGAAGAACGCAACAAAAGGACTTCAACAGGAAAAAGTCAACCGTAAGATCAAAGTCTAGAGTAAGGAAGCAACACTGTTATGAGTGTGGGGAGCAAGGTCACTACAAGAGAGATTGTCCTAAGCTGAAGGAGAAAAGAGGGAAGCTGAAAATAGATAATTCGGCAAATATTGTTGACACTGTCAATAATTCTGTCAATAATTCTGATGATAGTGACTATGTAGGGGAAGTTTGTGCTGGGAGTTCTAGTCATGGGCAAAATTCTTGGGTTCTTGATTCTGGTGCTACTTTCCACATGTGTCCACACAAGAATTAGTTTGCAACTTACAAACAAATGAGTGGGACTGTCTATATGGGAGATGATAATCCATTACCAGTATAGGGGGTTGGTAACATCAAATTGAGAATGTTCGATGGAATTATCAGAAACATTGAGTGTTGGCATGTTCATTGGATAAAAAGAAATTTGATTTCTCTTTTGACTTTGGATGATCAAGGGTATAAATTTCACTCCGAGAATGTTAAAGTGTGTAAAGGCTTCATGGTACTCATGAAGGGTAAACTACATTCTAAATTGTATCATCTTCAGGCCAGTGTAGTTGAAGGTGAAGCTGCTGTAGCTTCTGGGAAAAGTGATCTGAATCAGTCTCAGTTGTGGCACTTGCGACTTGGCCATATGAGTGATAATAGATTGTCTTTGTTGAGTAAGCAGAATTTGCTGAATGGGTACAAAAATCAAGTTTTGAATTTTTGTGAAGATTGTGTATTTGGTAAACAGACAAGGGTAAAGTTCATCAAGAAGGGCCGAGCACAAGACTAGAGACAAATTAGATTATATACACTCTGACTTGTGGGGTCCAAATAGAGTTCCCTCCAAGAGTGGTGCCAGGTATTTTATGACTTTGATTGATGATTACTCAAGGATGGTGTGAGTGTATTTTTTGAAAACAAAAGATGAGGCATTTTTGACATTTGTTAAATGGAAGACGATGATTGAGAGGCAAATGGAAAGAAAAGTTAAGCGTCTTCGAACTGACAATGGGTTGGAATTTTGCAATTCTGAGTTCGATAATTTCTGCAGCAGAGAGGGCATGGTGAGACATCGCACTTGTGTCGTAACACCACAACAAAATGGTATTGCAGAACGTATGAATAGAACACTTTGTGATAGGGCACGAAGCATGCTTTCACACTCATGTGTTAGCAAAGATTTTTGGGCTGAAGCAATCAATACAACTTGTTATTTGGTCAATAGATCTCCATCCACAACTATTGAGTTCAAAACTCCTTTTGAGGTATGGTCCGGTTCACCTGTTGATTATTCAAATTTAAGGATATTTGGTTGTCCTGCTTATGCTCATGTGAGGGATGGAAAACTTGAGCCGCGGGCAAAGAAGTGCATATTTCTAGGGTATGCAACCGGAGTGAAAGGTTATACGTTGTGGTGCACAGATCAAAAGACTCCAGGGCTAAGTATCAGTAGGGATGTAACATTCAATGAATATGCCTTACTGGACAGTCAGAGGGAGAAGACAATAGCATAAACAGATTGTGGTGTCAGTGACCGCATAGAGCTAGAAATTGAATCTCCACTAGCTCAGCCCAATAGTTCTAAAGTAGAGGAAGTGTAGAAGGTGCAAAATATTGATCAAGACGATAATGTTGATGCACCTGCGCAACAACAACCATATAACATTGCAACATGCAGAGAGAAGAGAGTGATCAATCGACCGCAAAGGTTTGCAAACGTAGTTGATGGGAATCTTCTTGGATATACGAATCCTGTGGGATTTGCTTTAGTAGTTGCAGAGACCGCTGATGCGTTTGAGCGTTATAGCTATCCAAAAGCTATTTCGGATACAGAACCAAATCGACGGATTAGTGCTATGGCTGAAGAGATTAAGTCTCTTAACAAGTTTAGGCGTTGCCTAGCCTTCGTTGATGCGTGCGGAAATCAATAGAGCCCTTGCGAGGGCTGAGGGCAAGGTAGAGAGACGTTCCTGTTGATGAAGAGAATTCAAGTTTGTTATTTGTGGCTTGAATTATTTCCTTGTATTTTTAGGAAACCCATAGTCCCTATAGGTTTAGGAAAACCCATTGACCTAATAGATTTAGGAAAGGAAAACCTATAGTCCTTGTTAAATTGGGAAACCTTTCTCATATATGTTTGAGACCTTTTGAGATCTATATATAGGGGTTGTAGTTGGGGATTCTATAAATTGTATTGTGCTTTTCTTCTCATTCATAGTGGAAAACTCTCTCTGCTTTTGCCCCGAGGATTAGGCTTAGCCGAACCTCGTTAAATCCTTGTGTTGATTTTTCTTCTCTATTTGCTTTGTGTGTGATTGTGTGCTAGTTAACTCACGATATTCCGCAACATATAATTTGATACAAGCTCAACCTTGATGAATTTTATGAATTCAAGAAGGAAAAAGAAATTGAAAATTTTCTTTTTTCTCCAGATTAGTTAGCCACATCTTCTACTTTTAATTTAGTGTTTTCCTTAAAACATAAATTCGGGTTCCTGATATTTAATATTTGATGGAAGATCAAAAATAAAAAGAAAATATTAGATGGAAGATAAATACGACCAATCAAAGTAGTAGTTTGTTCCAGCTTCCCGAGCTGTCGAGTTGACAACTCCCATGTTCCTATTCAAATGCGGTAATAAATCGAGCTTTCTTTCTTCTTTTTTTATAAATATTTTGAGACCTGAACTGTTTTGTGGAGCTAGGTTAACTTGCAACGCTATTTCTTGTATCCTGCAGTTTCCTTTAGCCCTGTTAGTAGCATGGTTGATCTTGTCATCATTTGCAGGAGCCTCTGCTGTGGCAGTCCAACCGTTTGTTGGGACCAATACTCAACAACCTAATAGAATGCCACATGGTGAACTTAATTCGATCACTAAGCCTGAGCGGAGTCTTGCACTGCGATTTAAGAACTCCAATCTTTGGAAAGTATTTGAATCTATGAATGAATTCGCCAAACTTCCACAAAGTCCACACTTTTCGCCCTTTGCACAGTATGAGGAGGAGAAACGAGAAGAAGCAGCTTTACAGCAGATGATAAAGTATGTTCTTATCGTTGAGAAGATTCCAGAGTTAACAATTGCTGAACTTAGTCATTCAACTCTCATTAATGACATGCTTGCATCTTTCAAGGACTTGGAGGAGTATGGATTTGATGTAATGCCTATTAAACGGCATCTGAATGATTTGCTGCTGGAGAACGAGAAGAAAGCTCAGCTTCGAGGCAAGTTGGAAGAAGTAGAGGTCAGAATCAGAAATCACAATCTTAAGAAAGCGAAAACTGAAAATGAGATTGACAAGATTGGTATGAAGATAAAAGATTTAGAGAAAGAACTTATGTCAACCAAGGACGAATACATTTTAGCCAAGAACGTGAAAGAGACAAAGGATCGCGATATCATGGTATTGAGATCTGAAAGGGGTGTCATTTATGATGATATTCGTCATCTCCAGGTAGATAACGAAAGGATAGTAGCTTCAATGAAGCAAACCTAGTATTTGTTTATATGGGGGCAAATACAATTTCAGTTTTTGTAAATACTGAACTTCAATGTAAATATTTAGGGTGAAAATCAGTTCCCCCCTCCAACTTTGATCAAAATGGTTCAAGCAACAACTAGCATGCTACATAGTATTGTTGATCTGCTATAAGTACCTCCCTAGAAGTAGAAAATTCAACTCAACTTAGAAGAGATTGATCTATCAAAGTCTAGAGAAACAGATATGGGACATGGCTAAATTAAAAAATATAAATTACCTAATCCAAAAGCGCATTTATCCTAATCTTGGAAGGACTAAATTAAAACCAAATTCTATCGCCAAAGAGTTGTTAGTTTGGACAGTTGTTTTTATCTAGAACTAAGTCATTGTAGTCTATTACATATTGAGGGACAAGCACCGCGCTGTCTAACCAAAATGACTTGTTTTATCATTAGTGTGTAAAAGTATCCACTTGACGAGATTAGATCTAATTCTCTTCCAATTATTTTTGGATATACAAGAAGGAAAACCTTTATCTGAAACATCTTTCTAATGTGATTACTTATAACAGTAAAGGCAGGGCAACCTGGTGCACAAGGCATCTTGTATTCACACAAGGTCCAAGGAAAGGCCGCACCCCAAAGGGTGTGATGTAGATAATCTATACTAATTCAAGCACTAGTGACTGCTTTCACCTATAAGTCACAATGCTCCCTTTCACTTGTGACAGCAAAAGTTTTGTTATTTATTGTTGATCTTGACGAAGGAACCACTAGAAGAAAAGGATATTAGCGTATTTCATACAAAGTAGATAAAAGATGAGTTCACCACAACAATAAATCTGAAATATCTATCCCTCAACGATTGAAAGCTTGGCTAAAGAAGATAAGTTTTCTCTAAGCATTCAGAGAGAAATTTACCATTGAAAATAATGTCCCTACAAATCTAAACGTAGTGTAGAGACAGAAGACCTAAATAAATGACCCACCTAAATATGTATTTGCTCTGTAGTAAAAGCAAAGTTATGGGGGACCAATTCATGTAACATGAACATAAGATCTAAAAGAACATGGAGCCACCCCACCATTTGCAGCTGGAATAGATGTGGACACTTTAGCTCTTTATTATCTTTGTCGCCTCCTCCGCCGTTCTATTCTTTTCTTCTTTCTCTTCACCTAACATCAATCCTCTTATATTTATGATTTTTCCTGTTTTTCCAGCTAGGGAACCATGTTTTTATTAACATTAGATAATACTAAGCTAAGCTGACAGAAATATTACATACACAGACTTAAAGAGTACTATGTTTTATGCTATTTTTGAAAAAGCTCTATCTTGTGGTGTGTTATTACCTGCATTAAAGAATTCACTTTAAGTTAAGGAAGTCTAAGTTGGCATTTCTACTTCGGTAAAAAAAAACTGATGCAAGAGAAAATCAAGAACTTTTTTCCCAGACAGTTCAGGTATTTGTTAGATCTTTAGAAATGGAAAGTGAGTATTGACAACTGGATACATTCCAAATCCACCAACCAATCTCTCATGATTACTGAATCATGGGGGTTGGTTGAGTGCCAACCAGATAGTATTCATGTATTTGGCGTTTATCTGTTATTATTATTGGACTGAGATGGACTTACATGGAGCGACATCGACAGTGATTATTTATGTATTCGATTCTTAACTTGCTTGAGATTGAGGCGTAGTGTTGTCGGTTTTATCAGCTTTTATCTGAATAGTACAAATATACTCCTCTGCTAGTTCATTAGTTGTAACTGTATGCATATTTTTTTTCAGGGGGTGGGTGGGGAGAACCAGAGTCAGAACTTTAGTTACATGGACAGCTCTTTAGACTATTTTTCTCAGGGACAGCTCTTTAGAATGCTCAAAAAACAGCGATGCTGTAAAGAGTATTATTCATTCCTTCTATAATGATATACAAATGATTACAGAGTTACAACTGCGCACACTAAATTTATCAATGAAAATAAAAACAAAACAAGACCAGTTTTGACAGCCCATTCAGCATTATGCCAATCAACGCCAGAACAAGAATCCGATTACCAAAACCTTCACCTACACCTTTTTCTTTCTTTTTCTTGACTCTTGAATAAATATTCTCAAAATATATAATTTCATGTACATTGTTTCATAATCATACTTTAATGCCATCATTATTTATAGTATTAGGGCGGTGATTAGCATCGAGTAGATTCTCCAGTGATCTGGCTTTTCTATTTCGAGACCTGCCAGCCTCCTTCAGTAGCTCAGCTAACCTCTTCTTTTCATCATCGACGTCTGGATTTGCCGTCCCTAGCTTTTCCTCTCTCACCCCAACAATGTATTCCAGTATTTCGATAGCTTCATCCAACCTGCAAAGAGCATCAACATCATCAATGCAGCTGGAAAACCGCTGAAGACATGATCTGACCAGTAAATCAAGAGACATATATTACAGCATCGTGATTCATAACAAATAAGAAAATCTTTGTGTTGTCAATAAATACTTCTACACAGATGCTTTCTCCTAGCTACAGAAAATAAGCACTGGTGTTGATTAGTAAAAATTTCGTTAAATTTTAGCCCACCTAGTCTAGCATGCAAGATCGTAAAGCGGCAGAAAAAGTTCAAACATATTTCAGGTAATACAAAACAAGTCAGCTGTTTAAGTTCTCAAAAGCATAACAAGTATAACAACAAGTAACTAACAAAATAATATGGTGCTACTACAAAGGAATTGCAAAGTTTGAAGATGCAGCATACCTGCCAACAGCATCATAAGTGCCAGCAAGGTTGCTATACACTCCCAATGTTTCGGGGTGATAGGGCCCATATTCTTGCTCCAAAATGCCCCTTGCTTCTTCAAACAACTCGACTGCCTCATTTATCGCATAACGCTGTACACAAGCAAGCCCCATTTGGTTAAGGGCAATTCCGAAGAAGGCTGATTTCTTCTCTCCACTTGCTCTGAGCTTTGAAATTGCATTTTTAAAGGAGTTATAAGATTCAGAATATTTTCCTAACATATAATAGATTACCCCCATTTGGGCTTCAATTCCCGCTATGGTATTCTGCTGCCCAGGGGCATTGTTATAAATCTTTAGTGCTCTCTGTAGCAACTTGAGCGCCTGATCAAGCTCATTCATCGACTCATAAATGGCAGAAACATCTGTAAGACCACAAGCAATCTCCTCTGGAGCAATCCCAGGTATGGGCTTCCCATATATCCTGAGGGCATTCTCACAGTATGACTTTGAGTCCCTTAGCTTTCCCGTCCTGTTGTACAAGTCGGCCAAACGGACAAAAACGGAAGCAACAGCAGGATGGTTTTCTCCTTTGCTAGACTTGAGAGCTGTGAGTGCCTTTTGGTAAGCAAAAATGGCTTCATCATACCTGTTCAGAGACAAATATGTGTCTCCAATGCTACAATCAACAGATGCCACTTCCGCTTCTTGCCCATTGGCCACCATCGCCATACTGGCCAAAACAAGATGCTCGAGAGCAGCCTCATGGTCTCCTTTTGACTCACAAATTAGTCCCATCAGCCTCCTGTCTGCTGCCTCCTCTAGAGAAGGTGGTGAACCATTCTCTTTATGTATGTCAAGAGCCAACTGACAAAGCTTCTCAGCTTGATCAAACTCCAAAGCCTGAACATGAGCTTCAGCTAGATATCGACAGGTCTCACCGACTCTGGGGTCACTATCTCCCAACACTTGCCTTTGTATTTCCAGACCGGTGGTGTAAGAAATAATTGAGTTCTCAAGTTGGCCCAACATTGCATAAGTATCACCCAATTGCATGTAACCAGCAAATTTGGCAAGGGCATGTTCTTGACCTTCTTCAACCACCGGAATTTCCAACGAGTGCTCTAGCAGTGGAATGGCATCACTGTACTGGCCCAAATTGCAGTATATTGCTGCAGTCACATGCAAACACATGACCACATCCAAACTAGGCTTTCCATTGGCACATTTCTCAAATGACTTTGCCGCTCGATGAGCCAAGTCAAGAGCCTTATGGGGATTATCCCCACCAGAAATCAAATCTCTTGCTTGCTTAAGAAGGAAAGGGCCAAGGTCAGGATTGTCTAAACCGGAATCAGATGAATCCTCAGTTCCATTCTTCAATTTTGACCCCGAAGCAGGTGAACTCTTCTTACTCCTTGATATACCTCCCACAACAGCCTTCCTAGAATTATTTTCATTTTTCTTTTCAATGGAAGGTTTCCTCCCCTTTGGATTTGATTTTGCTGAAGTTTCTGATTCCAACTCCAACTGGGAGGGTGTCTTGGGTTGCCCTGAAGAAGGGGTCTTTGCACTCGATGATAGGGAATTATCCAACTTCACGTCAGAAGAGGTTTCCTTCTTAGAGCCAGAATTGCAGAGAGATTCATCACTCTCTGGCTTTTGCACTTCCTCATCCTCCTCAATTATCTCCACTTCCCTCATTTCTCCGCCCACAAGATGGCGAAGCTCTGAGTCAATTCTGGATTCATCACCATCTGATCCATAACTAGGTCTAGATGGAGATTGATCAGAGCTTTGCATCTCACACACATTCTCATAGAGCTCCTCAATGGAGGGCTCAACCACCCCATCGGCTGCATACTCCGCGCCCCCATTCGGAGGATTTTGAGGAGTCAAAGCACCCTCAGGGGACTCATTCACAACTGCCTTCTCTTTCCAAGGTGTTGAATTTCCATTTTCCTTCAATTCTTTAACCTCAACTTCTTCATGAATTTCATCCATAACAACCCCGGGCATCTTCAAGACCACAAAATAAACAAGCACAGCACCTCCTACAAATTAAATAAATTACCTGCAAATGCAAACTCTTTTTCGGTTAATTCCTGAGCAGATCCAGCATATGCATCATGTTCTATGATATGCCACAATAAGTTGACCTTACAACCTTGTCCACACACAAGACAACATGGATAAAAACTTAATCTTTTTAACAGATCTTACCATATTAACAAACGCCAGCTACAGCAAGAATCAAGACAAAAGAAGCATGAAATAAAACAATCCATCTAAAAGCAAGGACCCAATTCAAAGCAAAGGCAGTAATCACATATAAATGGAACAGAAAGTGAATTGAACACAGGTTGACTACTAACAGCCAACAGAAAAAAAAACAGAGAGAATAAGAGAAAGAGTCATACCTTATTAGAAAGAACCCATAAGAGGGGGGCAGTAAAGAGGAAGTGCTGCTCAGAAAGTTATATAGGCAAAAAAATACAAAGTGTGAAGGAAAAAAAAATTCTACTATCCTATTGGTGGGGCTGGAATCACAGTGTTTGATGAAGAGGATAGAAAAAGATGGAATGTGGAGATTTAAGAAAAGAGTGAGGACATAGTTGGAAAAAAAAGGGAATTAATATTAATATAAGTAGAAAAAAAAGGAAGAAGGGAGGTGAATAATTATTTAAGGTTAAAGTTGCAGAGGTGGAATGTCAGAGAAAAGGAGAAGGCGACTTCTCCCCAAACTTTGGTCTGCTACTGCCGCTCTGTTTCCAACTGGGCTACCTCTATCTGGGTCTTTGCCACGTGGCGATGAGTAAATTGGCCGATTTACCCCCTTATTTTTTCAGGAACTATAACAAATACAGAATCACCGTTTTGAGTTTTGACAAATTAATTTAGTTGATGATATATAGTACGTAATAGTTTAAAAAATAAGTTATCAAAAATTTAAATTTACTGCTATTGCTTCAATCAGTATAAAGGGTATTCCGATGCGCAAAGAATCCTGTATTTAAGGGCCGCATTCCAAGAATGTGATATAAACCGTCTACCATGATGCAAGTATTAGTGACTGATTCCACGGCTCGAAATGATGACTTATAGATCACACAAAAATAATTTAATTGTTTCTCCAGTGCTCTTGTTATTTAAATGATAAGTTCAAGAGAGCTACAAAATAATTTAGACAAATATGACTATGATTATTAAATAGAATTTGCACCCAAAAAAAAAAGAAACTGATAACATAAACGGGTGGTAGTATTGCATCAAAACTTTTGAAAATTGATAAAGAATTATCAACTTGCCTAGACCGACAAGAGTTTAATAATGATTTATAGATAGTTAATGCATTGTGATTTGCGTTGGAATTAGTCAAATATAGAAACTAGTGTCCAAAAATAATTAATGTATGATACGCCTGTTATATGACACTTTAAAGGGGCTGTGGGAGGGGTAAACAAGTAATTTTATCAGCTGAAGATCAATTTGCCTTTTCTTTTCTTTTTATTTTATTTTTGCATTTTTTTGAGTTCAAATGGGAGGGTAGTGTGTACGCAGACCTTACCCCTACCCTAGGGTAGAGAGACTGTTTCCAAATAGAAACCGGACATCCTTCCCTCCAAGAACATCCCACCTTGCAAGAGACTCGAACTCACAACCTCTCGGTTGGAAGTGGAGGTTACTTACCATCAGTGCAACCCCTCCGTTGGTGAGTTCAAATGTTTCATGTCATGATAAAATAAGACTAGGGTTTGAAGTACCTTCTAAGTTTGTCTTACATTTGCATGCCCATCGTCTTGTCTTCCAAACCTGTTAACCTTCGGTGGTTACAATTCAGCTTTTTCTCCTTTGATTTTTTTTTTTTTTGTGTGTGTGTGGATATATTGTCGTTTTGTTAATATTCTCTCCAATTCCAAATGTTAATCATTTGATATACTGAATTTGTTTTTAAAATATTAAACCTTTTTAAAAATAGCAAGTTATGTTTTAGATTTGCGCTTAATGTTCTTTTCTTTTCCTAAGTCCTTAACGTTCTAATTGGCGTAATATTAATCTATCTATCTATATCTATCTATCTATGTATATCTATAATTATTATAAAAACACGAATGTTTTATGTTAAATATTGAACGACTAAAATATTCCTAAAATATCGATCGACTTTTATACCCTTTTAGTCTTATTTTACCATATCTTTATTGTTTTTTTTTTGTAATTTAAGAAATATCATAGTTACTTTCTAAAAGAACAAGGATTCGTAATATAAAGTCAACTTTTTTTTGGTTAGAAATATAAACTCAAGTTAATTTCTAAAAGAATTCATATCCTTAGTAGTTGACTTACTTTAGAGTTAGACAAAGTACGAATTTGAGTAGGAAACATATATTACACAAGTCACATAATGCTTTACACGAAACAACATAAAAGATTTAAACTTCCAATTAGATTTTTATGTTGCTAAACTCTTTTCATCACAAATACAGGTAGTCTACATAATTTTATCCATGTTGTCTAACCATTATTATTTTTCTAATCAATTTCTTGCAAAAAAAATAGTAATAAATTAATATAATGTGATACCCATTTACATATTATTTTTGCAGTATAAAAGACAAGAGGGGTTGTTCTGATGGTAAGCAACCTTCACTTTCAACCAAAAGATTGTGAGTTTGAGTCTTCCCAAAAGCAAGGTGGTAAATTTTTGAAGAAAAGGATAATACGTTTCTATTTCCTTTTTGGGTTTGTTTAAGAAAAAGGTGACGATATTCTCTCAATTGAATTTTTGTCGGGAGAGAATGATCAAAGCTTTCGTGAAAATTTGTCCGTGTGAACTTTTCTTGATTTTTTCAATACTATCTTTTTAAATTTCAAAATATATAATATGATATTCTTTTGTATGGTTTTATTTTTTTATTTTTTCTCTTTATTTATTTGTTAAAACTAAAACAAAGAAGAAGATATTGTCTCTCTGCTGATTAAGAAATTGTAGAAAGGGAGGTCATTAAGTAATTTTTTTCTTTCTCTGTTTTATTTTATTTGAATTATCCATAAACTTTATCTATACTTTTCTTCTTTATTTTATACAAGTGATTATGGTCAAATAATCTAATCTCCTTAATCATTTTGCGCTAAAACTCACGTAGATTTGTACAGCAGAAGAAAACTTAATTATGTTATGTTGGAGATGGTGGTTCTAATGGCGTTTCTCTCAAAAGTTCTACTGTGGTTCAAGGTGGTTAGTTGTCTTATGTTTATCAGATGTGGTTGTTTGGTCTCATTACCAGATGTGTTTATCAGACATATATCAAAGATAAATATTGAGCTAAAACTTCAGCTGGCTACTTGGGCTCAAAGCTTCAAATATACTAGTTGGGCTCTACACGTTTTGGGTCTGTTTAGAAGAATTGTATTGAGTAAGTTTTTTTTTGTTAGCTGTAAATATTGATTCCATATTTATCAGTTTGTTATAAGAGAGCAAATAAAATAGGGACAGGTGGATAGGTTAGTTATACATAGATTCCATTCTTTCTTATTTATATAGGTGCACTGTACAAATAACATTCATTCAATATACACAGAAAACTTTTTCTACAAGTTTTTCTTTCAATTCTGTCATGGTATCAGAGCAGGTCTGATCTGCTCTAATATTCTTCTTCTCCTAGCTCATTTTTTTTACAGGTCAAATTTTCAAAATATAGCTATTTACTACAACAATGTCTACTGAAGCTCAGACCACTGATGTAGTAAACCCAGTTACTCCGACTGCAGCTACATCTATTGCAGTTGGTTCCACTACAACTGGGATGGTTGATTCTGGTCATCTATATTATCTTCATCCCTTAGATTATCCAGGGATAAATCTTGTTTCTTCAGTCTTCAATGGAAGAGGATATGGAGGTTGGAGGAGAGTTGTTGTCATAGCTCTTTCAGCCAAGAACAAACTAGGATTAATTGAGGGATCCTTAGTTGTTCTTGGTGTTGAATCTGGTCTTCAAAGGGTCTGGGCTCGTTGCAATGACATAGTACTCTCATGGCTACTCAACTCACTCTCCAAGGAGATAGCAGAGAGTGTCTTGTACTCACAAAGTACAAAGGATCTTTGGAGTGACCTGGAAGATAGGTTTGGTCAGACAAACAGTGCAAAGTTGTTCCAACTACAAAAGGAATTAAGTGTTGTTGTGTAAGGTAATTCTAGTGTATCAGGATATTTCACAAAAATGAAGAGCTTATGGGATGAACTAGATGCACTAAAAACCTTTTCTGCTTGTGTTTGCGAATGTGAGTATGGTGCTAAAGCAAAGAATTTCAAGGTTCACCAAGATGAGAGACTGCTTCATTTCTTAATGGGTCTAAATGACACTTTCATAGGATTCATGACCAATATCCTTTTGTCTTCTCCCCTGTCTTCAATTGGACAAGCATATTCCTTAGTTATCCAAGATGAAAAACAGAGGGAAATTCATGCTACACCCGTTTATCCAGGAGATGCTGCATCTTTCATTGCAGCAAATCAGTCAGAGGGGTCAGAAATACAGTGAATACAAAGGAAATAAAGGAGGTTTTGAAGGAAAGAAAGTTTTCATTATCTATGCTTACTACAAAAAGCCAGGACATAACATTGAGAAATATTATAGGATTCATGATTTTCCTGCAGATTTTAAGTTCACAAAATAAAAGAAATTTCAGGGATCAGCACAAGCAAACAATGCTTTCAATTCAGGGGAAAGCAGTGAGCAAGGAGCTATCAATGCTACAGATGTGCAGACAAACAAAGGAGAATGTGACTCAACTGTTGCAGCTGCTCTAACAAGTCAACATGGGACAACAAAATGTTGCTACTCCTGATGCATATGCAAATGTCAATTGTGCTGGTATAGCTAAATTCTTTAACCCATTTGCTTGTTTTGTTCAAATAGATGAAAAGTCATGGATAATGGATAGTGGTGTATCTGAACACATGACTTTCAACAAAAGGGTTTCTTTCTAATTTCAAACCTTTGCCTAAACCTGTAATGGTCACTCTGCCTAATTCTCATAGTGTCAAAGTTACACATTTTGGTTCTATTTCTATTCTACCTGACATAGGTATTAAAGAATGTGCTCTATATTCTTTAGTTTAATTAAATTTGATGTTTGTACATAAGTTGTGCAAATATCTCAAGCAATTTGTGCTTTTCACTCCTACTTCTTATTTTTTTACTGCAGGGCCCTTCACTGAAGAGCCCTCTAGAGATTGGTAAGGAGAAATGAGGCCTTTACATCATCAAGCCAAGAGTTTCAACATCTATTTCTAAGAGTTTTCTCAAGTCTAATAGTAATTTAGTTTCCAAAAATAGGCCAGTATCTGTTCCTAAGTTTAATTCCTGTTTCAGTTTTTCTAACTCCAATGTAAAAGGCAAATTATGGCACTATAGGCTAGGTCATATGCCATTAAGCAGTATGAGAAATATATCAAGCATTCATGTTTCTTCTTGTTCAAATTTTACTGATCCTTGTATCATTTGTCCTATGGCAAGACAATGAAAGCTCCTTTTTCCCTCAAGTTCTATTTCAACAAAATCATTTGTCCTATTTTAACAAAATCAGTGAATTAATTCATGTGGATACTTGGGGACCATATAAGAGTCCTACTTCTGATGGTTTTAGATACTTTCTTACTATTGTGGATGATTTTAGTAGGGGTACTTAGACCTATTTACTTAGCACGAAGTCAAATGCCTTTCCTATTTTGAAGTCTTTTCTAGCAATGGTAGAAAGACAATTTCAAACAAAGGTTCAAATTATAAGATCAAATAATGCGTTTGAGTTAGGAAGTGGCAAAACATATTCAGAATTTCTTCTCTCACAATGAATCATTCATCAAACAACTTGTGTAGCCACTCCACAATAGAATGGAGTTGTGGAGAGGAAACATAAGCATTTATTAGAGACATCTAGGGCATTGTTTTTTCAGTCACATTTACCAATTACTTTCTAGGGAGATTGCTTATTGACAGCAACCTATTTGATCAACAGATATCCCTCCAAAGTTATTCAATACAAAACTCCCTATGAACTGCTCTTTCATTCTAAGCCAAATTATCATAACCCGAAGTGTTTGGGTTGCCTATGTTTTGCTTCCACTTTATCAAGTCATAGAATAAAGTTTGAACCAAGGGTAGTTTTATGTGTGTTCCTAGGTTATCCACATGGAAAGAAGGGATACAAAATGTTAAATCTGAAAACTATGAAAGCTTTTGTTTCAAAGGATGTTTTTCATGAAAACGTTTTCTCTTTTGCTTCTCTAAAATCAACGGATGCAGGAAATTCTTACTTCCCTTTTACTTCTGAGCATCTTTATAAGTCTTTCAACTCAACAGATGATGATCCAATACACACTCATTTACCTATAAATGGGGAACCTACTCCTGAGCCTATCTCCTCAAATTCACCTATAAGTTCAAAACACTCTTCACCTTCACATCTTTCAGCTACTCCTGTCAATTCTACTGTCCACATTCTTAATTTTCACCCACCATTTCTGCATCTAGTCCTCACAAATGTACTCTTACTGAATCAACAGTCCACATTCCTAGTTGTTCCCCAACTAGTCCTAAACCTATGATGGATATTTTAATTAGAAGGTCTTCTAGACCACATATTGATGTGATGACCCGGCCGGTCATCTTAAGAATTAACGTCATGATCCTTTGTTAAATGCTTTTTCCAAGTTTATTTCTGCTATTTTGATTTTTCGGGACGTTCGGTTTTGAGTTTCGGAGATTTTTGGGACACTTAGTCCCTAAATGAGAGCTTAAGTGTTGGAAAGTTGACCGTAGTCGGAACAGTATAAAGACAACCTTAGAATGGAAATCCGATGGTTTCGTTAGCTCTGTTAGGTGATTTCGGGCTTAGGGGCGTGTTCGAATTGTGTTTTGGAGGTCTGTAGCTAATTTAGGCTTGAAATGCCGAAATTTGAATTTTTGAAGTTTCCGATCCGATAGTGAGATTTTGATCCGAGATTAGGAATGGAATTATGGAAGTTGGAGTAGCTCCGTAGTGTTGAATGTGACGTGTGTGCAAAATTTCAGGTTATTCGGACGAGGTTTGATAGACTTTTTGATCGAAAGCGTATTTTGAGAAATTTGGAGTTCTTAGGCTTAAATCCATGATTAATTCGAGGTTTTGATGTTGTTTTAGGTGTTTTAAGGATTGGTACAAGTTTAGATAGTGGTTTGTGACTTGTTGGTGCCTTTGGTTGAGGTCCTGGAGGCCTCGGGATGAATTCGGATGGTTGACCGAAAGATTTTGGAGTTAGAGTTACAGCTTCAGCTGCTGGTTCTGTCATAACCACACCTGCGGTTTGGGTTCCGCAGGTGCAGTGCCGCAGAAGCGGCTTAGTGGCCGCAGATGCGGAATTTGGTCATTTCTTCAGGAACCGCAGAAGCGGTACCGCATCTGCAGATTGGGAGTCGCAGATGCGGAAGCTGGCCTTTTAATGAAAAGTCGCATATGCGACTTTGGCTCCGCAGAAGCGGAAGGGCCGCAGACCGCATCTGCGGAAATCGCTGGACAGAACATATAAATTTTGGCCTTCGCGAAATTTAGCCATTTTTCATCTTTTTCAAAACGGGAAGAAGCTTGGGAAGCACTTTTCAAGAGAGATTTTCAGAGGAGTTTTTTGGTCCCTAAACTCGTTATTGGAATGATTTTTATCAATTTAAGCATGAAAAATCAAGGAAAATCAGTGGTAATTAGGGGGTTAGGGCTAGTCTAATTGGAAACCTATGAGTAATGATTTGAGGGACGAATTGAGGTCCGATTTTAGTACTTTTGATATGACTAAACTCGTGAGAGTGCGAGATTTCTGAAAATATAAATTTTACCCGATTCCGAGATGTGGGCCCGATGGGCGTTTTAGTTATTTTACCTAATTTCACGTATTAGCTTAGGATTTAATTGTAGAATCAGTTACTTGAAGTGTTATTCATATTATGAAATTGAATTGAATAGATTTGGGCCATTTGGAGTCGAGTACTCGTGGCAAGAGCGTGGTTTCAAATTGATTATTGAGCCGGTTTGAGGTAAGTGGCTTGTCTAACCTTGTGTGGGGGACCTTTCCCTTATGATTCAGTATATTTGATATTTGAAATGCCTTGTACGTGAGGTGACGAGTGCGTACTTGAGAGAATTATTGAAATTCCATTTTCTTTAAGTAATTTCAATTGTGTTCCTTTTCCTATTTCATTTTACTTGCAATTTAATCCTGCTGTTAGCTTAGAAAGAGCATGTCTAATTGACTTAACTGTTTATTTGCTTAAACTACCTTAATTGAATTATGTGAAGCATGTTAGATTAGAATTACCTGTTTACTTGATACGAAACTGAACTTAATTGTGTATTCTTGTGCTGATGTTGTATGTTTTACTTTGGGACTACGGGACGGTATCCCGGGAGATCCCCTGTGCGTATTTATGATTTGAAATGAGGTGCGGGATACCGAGAGATCCCTGACACGTATATTGAGGATACCAAGAGATCCTCGGGATACCGAGAGATCCCTGACACGTATATTGAGGATACCAAGAGATCCTCGGGATACCGAGAGATCCCTGGCACGTATATTGAGGATACCAAGTGATCCTCGTGATACCAAGAGATCCCTAGTGCATATTGAGGATACCGAGAGATCCTCAGGATATCAAGAGATCCCTAGCATACATTGAGGATACCGAGAGATCTTCGGGATACCAAGAGATCCCTGGCATATATTGAGGGTACTAAGAGATTCTCGAGATATTGAGAGATCCCCGGTTATTTCCTTGTGATTGTTTTGCCTCTGTTTTAGTCATTGAATTCCTTGTTTTCCTGTATTAAATTCGTATTGTTAGCTTTCAACTGTACTGCTTATCTTATATTGTCATGTCTTATATTCTTTATTTTATCTCAGTAGGGCCCTGACCTTCCTCGTCACTACCCAACCGAGGTTGGGCTTGGCACTTACTGAGTATTGTTGTGGTGTACTCATGCCCCTTTCTGCGCATGTTTTTCATGTATAAATCTAGGTACCACTGCTCAGTCCTACCATCCTTGAGGGAGGCGAGTACTCTAGAGACTTCGAGGTACATCTACCGCGTCCGTAGACCGAGGAGTCCCTTTTTATTCTAGCTGTTAAGCATTGCCCTTCTGTATTTTCTTTCTTGTTAGATATTCTGGAGTTAGACTGTTAGATATTCCAAAGGCTTGTATTTTCGTGAGTTTCCGGGTTTTGGGATAGTGTACTTGGTTTTGAGAATGTTGTGTTGTATATGCCGAGCTGCATTATAACTATTGTTCCCATTCAGTTATTTTGGTTTTTGATTATTTCTTTCGCAAGTTTCGTTTATGTTCCGCATTTGTTAGGCTTACCTAGTTGTAGAGACTAGGTGCCGTCACGACAGTTTACGGCGGGCGAACTAGGATCGTGACAAGTTGGTATCAGAGCTCTAGGTTCATAGGAGTTATGGATCACAAGCAGGTTTATTAGAGTCTCGCTGATCGGTACGGAGACGTCTGTACTTATATAAGAGAGGCTATGTGACTGTTAGGAAAATCTCACTTCATTTTATTTCCTTGCCGTGCGATATTTTGACATCACAATTCTAAACATCTATCTTCTTTTCTCTCACAGATGGTGAGGACATGCGCTACCCGAGGTGATTAGGCACCCGCGCCCCCAACTACAGTTGTCAGAGGCTGGGGCCAGGGTAGAGGCCAAGGACACGCATGTAGTGCAACTAGAGCACCTGCGCGAGCTGCCGCCGAGGTACCACCAACAGTTCCAGCTGGAGTACAGACACCTGACACACCTACTGTTACTACTATTCCAGCTCTTCAGGAGACTCTGGCACAGTTCATGAGCATGTACACCACTTTGGCTCAGGCATGATTGCTTCCCCTTGCTGTAGCTCTGTCTTAGGCCGGGGGAGGAGCACAAACTCCCGCTGCCCGCACTCCTGAGCAGCGAGTGCATGTTGAGCAGGTCCCTGAGATTATTCCTGTAATCGCATGCAGTGTCAATTCATCTCGAGGTCAGGGCAGCGACTTCCGAGGAGGAGCAGCTGAGGCTTGAGAGGTTCAAGAAGTACAAGCCTCCTATATTCAGCGGTCTAGAATTGGAGGATGCTATGAGATTTCTAGATGAGAGTTACCGCATCTCCATACCATGGGTATATCAGGATTGAGCAGGGTTTCCTTCACTACTTTCCAGCTTCGAGGAGCCGCCTATGAGTGATGGCGCACATATGAGTTAGACAGTCCGGATGAGGCTGCTTCAATGACTTGGACTTAGTTTTCAAATCTGTTCTTGAGAGAGTATGTTCCTCAGATCCTCAAGGATGCATGGTGCTCCGAGTTTGAGCAATTGCGCCAGGGTGCTATGACTGTCTCAGAGTATGCTGTCCGTTACACTAGTTTGGCTAGGCATGCACCAGCCTTGGTTTCTACTGTTCGCAAGAGGGTTCATCGGTTTATTGAGGGCCTTATTCTGAGCACCAGGTCTAGCATTGCTCGAGAGTTGGAGATGGATATATCTTATCAGTGGGTGGTGAGCATTGCTAGGAGGATTGAGGGTATGCATGCTAGGGAGAGAGTGAAGAGAGAGGCCAAGAGGTCTCGAGAGTCAAGCCATTTCTCTGGTGCCCGTGCCCTAGCGGCAGGTCGTCATGGTAGGGGTTATATGAGTTGCCCTGTTCATTCAACTCTTCCAATAGCTAGTGGTATTCTAGCACCTCCTAGATCTCAAGAGCCTTATTATGCACCTCCGGTATCTAGCGCGCCTCCTGTGCGGGGTTCTTTCAGAGGTCAGTCCAGTAGACCTGGATCGAGCCAGTCACAGCCACCACGTCCTCCCAGAGCTTGTTTTGAGTGTGGTGACACACGCCATATGGTGAGGGATTGCCCTAGACTTGGGAGGAGTGCACCTCCACAAACTTCTCAGCTACAACGTGCCTCACAGAGTTCTCAGGCTATGGTTACAACTCCGGTTGCTACCCCACCTGCTCAGCCAGCCAGAGGCGGAGGTCGGAGAGGTAGAGGTCGCCCTAGAGGGAGAGGCCAAGCCCGATACTATGCCCTTCCTGCCCACACTGAGGTTCTTGCCTCCGATTCTGTCATCACAGGTATTATATTGGTTTGTCACAGAGATACATCGGTTCTATTCGATCCAGACTCTACTTATTCTTATATGTCTTCTTATTTTGCTCTGCATTTGGGTGTATCTCGGGATTCTTTAAGTTCCTCTATTTATGTTTCTACTCCTATGGGAGATTCTCTTGTTGTGGACCGCATTTATCGATCGTGTTTGGTTGCTCTTAGTGGTTTTGAGACCAGAGCCAATTTATTGTGACTCAGTATGGTTGAATTCGATATTATCTTGGGCATGGACTGGTTGTCGCCCCATTATGCTATTCTTGATTGTCACGCCAAAACTGTGATGTTGGCTATGCCAGGTGTACCGCATATTGAGTGGAGGGGTACTTTAGATCACACCCCCAGTAGGGTTATTTCTTTTCTTAAAGCTCAGCAAATGGTTGAGAAAGGGTGTGACGCGTATTTAGTTTATGTGAGAGACGTCAATATTGATACCCCTTCAGTTTATTCAGTCCTAGTAGTACGAGATTTTCTCGATGTGTTTCCAGCTGATCTTCCAGGCATGCCGCCTAATAGAGATATTGATTTTGGCATTGATCTATTGCCGGGCACTCAGCCCATTTCTGTTTCTCCGTATCGTATGGCTCCTCCTGAGTTGAAGGATCAGTTATAGGAATTATTTGATAAGGGTTTTATTCGGCCCAGTGTATCACCTTGGGGTGCTCCTGTCTTGTTTGTAAAGAAAAAGGAAGGGTCTATGCGTATGTGTATTGATTATCGCTAATTGAACAAGGTTACAATGAAGAACCGTTATCCTTTGCCTCGTATTGAAGATCTGTTTGACCAACTTCAGGGTGCACGTGTGTTTTCTAAGATTGATTTGCGCTCAGGTTACCATCAATTGAAGATTCGGGAGCTAGATATCCCGAAGACTGCTTTCAAGACCCGGTATGGTCATTACGAGTTCCTTGTTATGTCTTTGGGTTGACCAATGCCCCAGCAGCCTTTATGCATTTGATGCATAGTGTGCTCCGGCCGTATCTTGACTCGTTCGTCATTGTCTTTATTGATGACATTCTGGTGTATTCTTGGAGTCGAGAAGATCATGAGCAACACCTGAGGACTGTGCTTCAGACTCTGAGAGAGAAGAAGTTATATGCTAAGTTCTCTAAATGTGAGTTTTGGTTGGATTCAGTAGCATTCTTAGGCCACGTGGTATCGAGTGAGGGCATCCAGGTGGATCCGAAGAAGATAGAGGCCGTGCAGAGTTGGCCCAGACCATCCTCAGCTACCAAGATCCGCAATTTCCTTGGTTTGGCGGGCTACTACCGTCGATTTGTGGAGGGGTATTCATTTATTGCGGCCCCTATGACCAGGTTGACCCAGACGGATGCTCTGTTCTAGTAGACGGATGAGTGTGAGGCGAGCTTTCAGAAGCTCAAGATAGCTTTGACCACAACCCCAATTTTGATACTGCCTACAGGTTCGGGGTCTTATACGGTCTATTGTGATGCCTTGAGGGTTGGCCTTGGAGCGGTGTTGATGCAGGACGGTAGGGTGATTGCCTACGCGTCCAGACAATTGAAGATACATGAGAAGAACTACCCTGTTCATGACCTTGAGTTAGCTTCCATTGTTCACGCCCTGAAGATTTGGTGCCATTATTTATACGGTGTTCCTTGTGAGATTTATACTGACCATCAGAGCTTGCAGCACCTGTTCAAGCAAAAGGATCTAAATTTGTGCTAGAGGAGGTGGTTAGAGTTGCTAAAGGACTATGATATCACTATTTTGTATCACCCGGTCAAGGCCAATGTGGTGGCCGATGCTTTGAGTCGTCAGGCAGAGAGTTTGGGGAGTTTGGCTTATTTACCCGCATTGGAGAGGCTTATGGCGATGGATGTTCAGGCCTTAGCCAGCTAGTTTGTGAGATTGGATCTTTCAGAGCCCAGTCGGGTTCTAGCTAGCGTGATTTCTCGGTCTTCCTTATTTGATCCTATAAGGGAGCGGCAGTATGATGACCCTCATTTGCTTGTCCTCAAGGACAAGGTTCAGCACGGTGATACCAGAGATGTGACTATTGGTTATGAGGGGGTATTGAGGATGTAGGGTCAGATTTGTGTACCCAATGTTGATGGGCTTCGAGAGTTGATTCTAGAGGAGGCCCATAGTTCGCGGTATTTCATCCATCCGGGTGCTGCGAAGATGTATTAGGATTTGAGGCAGCGCTATTGGTGGAGGCGGATGAAGAAAGATATAGTTGGATTCGTAGCTCGGTGCCTCAACTGTCAGCAGGTGAAGTATGAGCACCAGAGACCGAGTAGGTTGCTTCAGCAGATAGAGATTCCGGAATGGAAATGGGAGCGGATCACCATGGACTTTGTAGTTGGGCTCCCACGGACTTTGAGGAAGTTTGNAGTGGAGTTGAGTATAATATTTCACCCTCAGACGGACGGACAGTCCGAGCGCACTATTCAGATTCTTGAGGATATGCTTTATGTATGTGTGATTGAGTTTGGAGGGTCTTGGGATCAGTTCTTGCCATTGGCGGAGTTTGTTTACAATAACAGCTATCAGTCCAACATTCAGATGGCACCGTATAAGGCTTTATATGGGAGACGATGTAGATCCCTAGTGGGTTGGTTTGAGCCGGGTGAGGCCAGATTATTGGGCACAGACTTAGTTCAGTATGCTTTGGAGAAGGTTAAGGTGATTCAGGATAGACTCCGTACAGCCCAGTCCGGATAGAAGAGTTACGCTGACCGAAAGGTTTGTAATGTTTCCTATATGGTTGGAGAGCGGGTTCTGCTTCGGGTTTCGCCTATGAAGGGCGTTATGAGATTTAGGAAGAAAGGGAAGTTGAGTCCGAGGTTTATTGGCCCTTTTGAGATATTGAGGCGTGCTGGGGAGGTTGCTTATGAGCTTGCCTTACCTCCCAGCTTGGCAGGAGTTCATCCGGTATTTCATGTTTCGATGCTCCGGAGGTATCACGGTGATCCGTCGCACGTGTTGGATTTCAGTTCAGTCCAGTTGGACAAGGATCTATCTTATGTTGAGGAGCCAGTGGCCATATTGGACAGGCATGTTAGGAAGCTGAGGTCAAAGAACATTGCATCGGTAAAGGTTCAGTGGCGGGGTCAGCCGGTTAAGAAGGTATCCTAGGAGACCGAGCAAGATATGCGCAGCCGTTACCCTCATCTTTTCACTACTTCAGGTATGTCTTTATGATCATTCGAGGACGAACAAATGTTTAAGTGTAGAAGGATGTGACGACCTGGCCGTTCGTCATAACAATTAACGCACTGATCCTCTATTAACTGCTTTCCCCGAGTTCATTTCTGCTATTTTGATTTGCCAGGACGTTCAGTTTTGAGTTTCGGGGAGTTTTGGGACACTTAGTCCCTAAATGAGAGCTTAAGTGTTGGATTGGCCGTAGTCAGAGCAGTGTGAAGATGGCCTCAGAATGGAAATCTGATGGTTCCGTTAGCTCCGTTAGGTGATTTCGGGCTTATGGGCGTGTTCGGATTGTGTTATGAAGGTCCGCAGCTAATTAAGGCTTGAAATGCCGAAAGTTGAATTTTTGAAGTTTCCGGTCCGATAGTGAGATTTTGATACGAGGGTCAGAATGGAATTCCGAAAGTTGGAGTAGCTCCATAGTGTTAAATGTGACGTGTGTGCAAAATTTTAGGTCATTCGGACGAGGTTTGATAGACTTTTTGATCAAAAGCGTATTTTGAGAAATTTGGAGTTCTTAGGCTTAAATCTATGGTTAATTCGAGGTTTTGATGTTGTTTTAGGTGTTTTAAGGATTGGTACAAGTTTGGATAGTGGTTTGTGACTTGTTGGTGCCTTTGGTTGAGGTCTCGGAGGCCTCGGGATGAATTCAGATGGTTGACAGAATGATTTTAGAGTTAGAGTTGCAGCTTCAGTTGCTGGTTCTGTCATAACCGCACCTGCGGTTTGGATTCCGCAGGTGCAGCGCTGCAGAAGTTGCTTAGTGGCCGCAGTAGCGGAATTTGGTCATTTCTTCAGGAATTGCAGAAGCGGTGGTAATACAGCAGAAGCGGTATCGCATCTGTAGATTGGGAGTCGCAGATGCGAAAGCTGGCCCTTTAATGAAAAGTCGCAGATGCGACATTGGCTCCGCAGAAGCGGAAGGGCCGCAGACCGTATCTGCGGAAATCGCTGGACAAAACATATAAATTCTTGCATTCGCAAAATTTAGCCATTTTTCATCTTTTTCAAAACGAAAAGAAGCTTGGGAAGCACTTTTCAAGAGAGATTTTCAGAGGAGTTTTTTGGTCCCTAAACACGTTATTGGAATGATCTTTATCAATTTAAGCATGAAAAATCAAGGAAAATCAGTGGTAATTGGGGGGTTAGGGCTTGTCTAATTGGAAACCTATGAGTAATGATTTGAGGGACGAATTGAGGTCCGATTTTGGTACTTTGATATGACTAAACTCGTGAGAGTGCGAGATTTCTGGAAATATAAATTTTACCCGATTCCGAGATGTGGGCCCGAGGGGCGTTTTGGTCATTTTACCTAATTTCACGTATTAGCTTAGGATTTAGTTGTAGAATCGGTTATTTGAAGTGTTATTCACATTATGAAATTGAATTGAATAGATTTGGGCCATTTGGAGTCGAGTACTCGTGGCAAGAGCGTGGTTTCATATTGATTATTGAGCCGGTTCGAGGTAAATGACTTGTCTAACCTTGTGTGGGGGATCTTCCCCTTAGGATTCAATATATTTGATATTTGAAATGCCTTGTACGTGAGGTGACGAGTGCGTACTTGAGCTAATTATTGAAAATCCGGTTTTCTTTAAGTAATTTCAATTGTGTTCCTTTTCCTGTTTCATTTTACTTGCAATTTAATCCAACTGTTAGCTTAGAAAGAGCATGTCTAATTGACTTAACTGTTTATTTGCTTAAACTACCTTAATTGAATTATGTGAAGCATGTTAGATTAGAATTACCTGTTTATTTGATACGAAACTGAACTTAATTGGGTATTCTTGTGCTGCTGTTGTGTGTTTTACTTTGGGACTACGGGATGATATCCCGGGAGATCCCCTGTGCATATTTATGAGTTGAAATGAGGTGCGGGATACCGAGAGATCCTTGGCACGTATATTGAGGATACCAAGAGATCCTCGGGATACCGAGAGATCCCTGACACGTATATTGAGGATACCAAGTGATCTTTGGGATACCAAGAGATCCCTAGTGCATATTGAGGATACCGAGAGATATCAAGAGATCCCTAGCATATATTGAGGATATCGAGAGATCTTCGGGATACCAAGAGATCCCTGTCATATATTGAGAGTACTAAGAGATCCTCGGGATATTGAGAGATCCCCGGTTATTTCCTTGTGATTGTTTTGCCTCTGTTTTAGTCATTTAATTCCTTGTTTTCCTGTATTAAATTCGTATTGTTAGCTTTCAACTGTACTGCTTATCTTATATTGTCATGTCTTATATTCTTTATTTTATCTCAGTAGGGCCCTGACCTTCCTCGTCACTACCCAACCGAGGTTGGGCTTGTCACTTACTGAGTACCGCTGTGGTGTACTCATGCCCCTTTCTGCGCATGTTTTTCATGTATAAATCCAGGTACCACTGCTCAGTCCTATCATCCTTGAGGGAGGCGAGTGCTTTAGAGACTTCGAGGTACATCTACCGCGTCCGTAGATCGAGGAGTCCCTTTTTATTCTAGCTGTTAAGCATTGCCCTTCTGTATTTTCTTTCTTGTTAGATATTCTGGAGTTAGACTGTTAGATATTCCAAAGGCTTGTATTTTCGTGAGTTTCCGGGTTTTGGGATAGTGTACTTGGTTTTGAGAATGTTGTGTTGTATATGCCGAGCGGCATTATAACTATTGCTCCCATTCAGTTATTTTGGTTTTTGATTATTTCTTCCATAAGTTTCGTTTATGTTCATCATTTGTTAGGCTTACCTAGTCATAGAGACTAGGTGCCGTCATGACAGTTCACGGAGGGAGAACTGGGGTCGTGACAATTGCACCCTCTTATCTAAAGGACTACATCTGCAATGCTATTCAACTTACTAATGTTAGCACTCCTTGTTTCCTCTTACCGGTATCACCATCTTCATTCCCTTTTCATGGTCTTTCCACCACTAACCAACATCTACTTAATGCTTTATCCAATATCCAAGAACCTAGTAGCTATACACAGGCAACACTTCATCCTGGTTGGCAGGAGGCTATGACAAAAGAAATTGCAGCACTAGAGTTCAATAAAACATGGGAAATTCTGGAATTGCCTCCTGGAAGAAAGGCTTTGCCTTGTAAATGGGTCTACAAGGTGAAACAATATTCTGATGGGAGTATAGAAAGGTTGAATTCAATATTGGTAATTAGGGGTGATATACAACAAGAAGGGATAGACTTTACAGAAATATTTTCTCATGTCGTCAAAATGACAACTATCACGTGTATTCTTTCTATAGCAATTAAGAAAGGTTAGTGGCTCTATCAATTGGATGTAAATAACGCTTTCTTACATGGTGAATTGAATGAGGAAGTTTATATGAAGTTCCTAGCAAGGGTTGAAGCCCCTTCACCTACACATGTGTGTATATTAAGAAAATCTATTTATGGGCTTCGTCAAGCATCCAGACAATGGTACGCACGACTTATAGCAACCCTGAATTTTAAGGGATTTTCTCATTCGTTGAATGATTATTCTTTATTTTTTAAAAGGTCAGAATCCTCTATATCTATTGTAGTTGTGTATGTAGACGACATTCTATTGACAGGGAATGACATGGATGAATTACATACGTTAAAGATGTTTCTATATCAAGAGTTCAAAATAAAAGATTTCGGGGACTTACATTTCTTCCTTGGTATGGAAGTTCTTCGTGAGGCATCCAGATTGATTCTTTGTCAGAGGAAATTTACTCTGGATTTTCTAGAAGAATTTGGTTCTCTGCATTGCTCCCCTGTTTCCTCTCCTCTTGATCCCACTGTCAAATTGCTCGCCAAAACAGGGAAAGCTCTTCCTTCTCCAACTTTGTACAGACATCTTTTGGGTAAATTGAACTAGTTAACTCATACTCGACCAGATCTTTGCTTTGCAGTACATCATTTGAGTCAGTATATGCAGGATCCAAGAAAGCCCCATTTGCATGCCGCACTTCGTGTCCTCCGATATCTGTTGAAAGACGTAGCTGGTTTGGGGCTTTTCATGACAACTTCCCTATCATTTCACCTCATCGCTTTTTGCGACTCAGATTGGGGAACTTGTCCAGAAATAAGGAAATTAGTGAGTGGTTTATTCATTTCACTTGGAGGATCTCCAATTTCATGGAAATCGAAGAAGCAGACTTCCATTTCTCTCAGCTCAGTAGAAGCGGAATTCCGTTCTATGCGGCATGTAGTAGCAGAATTAACTTGGTTAGTACGCCTCTTTGAAGATCTGTCTATCCCCATTTCTTTTCCAGTACCACTCCATTCCGACAGTCAAGCAACGATTCATATTGCTAAAAATCCCATCTTTCGTGAACGAACTAAACACGTCGAAATTGATCGTCATTTCGTGAGACAACAATTTATTGCTGGCTTGATTTCTCTTTCATTTGTTCGATCTTCTTCTCATCTGGCAGATTTGTTCACTAAACCCTTAGCTGGACCTTCTCACCACCATTTGTTAGGCAAGTTGGGTGTTCTTTCATCCCCCTCCAACTTGAGGAGGTGTGTTGGAGATGGTGGTTCTAATGGTGTTTCTCTCGAAAGTTCTACTGTGGTTCAAGGTGGCTAGTTGTCTTATGTTTATTAGATGTGGTTGTTTGGTCTCATTATCGGATGTGTTTATCAGACATATATCAAGGATAAATATTGGGCTAACACTTCAGCTGGCTACTTGGGCTCAAAGCTTCAGGTATACTAGTTGGACTCTGCACGTTTTGGGCCTGTTTAGAAGAATTGTATTGAGTAGGGTTTTTTTTTTATTAGATGTAAATATTGATTCCATATTTGTCAGTTTGTTATAAGAGAGCAAATAGAATATATAGGGACAGGTGGATAGGTTAGTTATACATAGATTCCATTCTTTCTTATTTATATAGGTGCACGGTACATATTACATTCATTCAATATACACAAAAAACTTTTTCTACAAGTTTTTCTTTCAATTTTGTCATGTTATTATTTTAATCACGATATTTTATTTATACTTTATATAATAATGTTCTATGAAACTTCTAAGTTTTGGTATGTGCTTTTGACCCACTTTCAAAGTTCTGTTTCATATTTTAGATCGAAAGAGTAATACTATAGTCTACATATAAACCCAATTTTGATTCACTTTCAAAGTATCAATTTATACGCTAAAAATAAAAATTATACTAAGAAGGGATGAAAAATAAAGAGCCAAATAGTTGAAGACTTTGGTTGCCTTCTTGATATTTCAGATATGGATACCTGTTCAACTCAAATAGATATTGTTTACGTAACATTTGATATGACTTCCAAATACCTGAACTAAAGTATACCATGACTATCACAAAGATATTAATACTGTTACATATTGTAAGTGTCTTTACAATTTTAATCATATAACTTTGATTGTGTCAAAATTTTATTAACGAAGTGGTTTGGTTTATATAATATATTTTTTCTTTTATGTTACGAAAGTGGTTATTGAATCTCATATACATTTGAGTAAATTTTTTGGATATCTATGCAATTGAAGATTTATTACGTTCGATATGCACTTCGTACTATTTGACGCATATATACATGCAATCGTATTATTTTTATTATAATAATAATAATAATAATAATAATAATAATAATTTTTCAATGCAAAAAGTTGATTATTGACTGAATATCCACATGCAGTTATTAAACAGACTAATATATACGTGCAGTTATTAGCATGTAATGTACGTTCATAGAGACTAATTAGGTAAAAAGCTTAGAATAGGTAAATGAGTTTAGATTAAAAAAAAATGATTAATGCTATTAAATCTTTCTTAAAGGGTGTGTGCAAACTTTTAAAATTGATACTCCAACCTGGACCGGATGTAGTGTTTAACAAAAAAAAAAATAGTTTTTATGGTCAAAGCAAATAAAGAATAAATTGGGTTTTTATTTTACTTCACTTTTCCTAATATAAAAGAGTAAAAATAATAATAGAAAGCAAAACTGAGAGACTAAGGGAAAAGAAATCTTATTCATAATCGCAGCTCTCTTCTAATAGGAAAGAATATGATCTTCCAATGGCTGAGAATAATAAAAGTATTGATAATTGATAGTATTACTCTATGATTTTCTTGATGGGAATACAATATATGTTAATATAAGAGTATAATTTGTAACTTCTTCGCCCTATTTAATTTCTGCCCGTTACTAACATTTATTACATTGATTACCGGTTACACGAGTGATTTGTAACTGTTAAGGTAATAATGATCAATCACCCATAATCAGGGATAATGTTGATTTTTTTTCATATTCGTGGCTGTGAGCACGTGATTTTTGCTTCACGCGACAATCGCTCCAAAAGAAATAAAAAATAATAACAATTGATCCTGTTGTACAATTTTTGGATTTTTACATGGCACTTTGTTAATTGTTTATGATTTTTTTGCCCATTTTATTTTTATTAAAACAAGATACAAAAAATGTATGTGTCATGCATAATTTGAACCGTAATCCGGTTGTTAAACAGAAAATCATAAATAGGCATCTTTGTCCGTGATTTTGTTTTGTTTGATTTTTACCTGTTTTAAAATATTTTAATGTGTGTGCAAATAATTGTATTAAGTGTTTATTTAATTTNTGTCGCTAGCAAGGGCAAAGTACCCCTGCATTTATTGGAACACAATCTCTCACATGAAAGCCAACATCTAACATTGCATGTGCCGTACAAAATCATGTCCCGTGAAAATATTAAACAAAGCATATTGCCATATTATTTATAATTAACCCTTCGTAAATGGGAGTTGGTGAAATTTAGACGTCACCACTATCTTTAATCACAATAAATTAGCGTCCTGTTAAACACCCCACGGGCACCAATAATTATATTCAAAACCAAAAAGTGAGGCATAATTTCTGTAATTCAAATTATTAAAGTTAAGCTTCGCTGGAATAATAATTGCTAAAACCGAGTTAATATAAAACATCATGATGATAATTGATATGTGATTAGCGAGTTTAGCTGTGCACGTGGCTGGATTGATAGGCATCCGATGATATTTTGTTTAATCTATAACTACTAACATTATTTTATACAATCAAAAGGGTAATTCCCCTCTTAAGTGGGAATAAATTAATAATGATGAGATATCTATGATTGTAAAAACCAAGGCTGAATTACTGTAGCTGAAAAGGCTTACTTTGTTTTGCTATATTCCAATGCTCAAAAGTTGATCAATTGTATAGCTGTTACATTTTATTTTATTTTTTGCTAATACAGTTTTCTTTTCCTTATTGAGGAAAAGGAACAATATAAAGTCAAACTTTTCTAAAGAATTACTTAAATAGTCGTCCACCTAATTTCTTAAACTAAATATAATCGGTGAACATACATACACACACACATATATATATATAGCATCTATGCGTACCGGCTAGAAAAGGTAAACAGTAAATTTGGCTGGCTATCTGTGTAACACTCCCAACTTTTTTCCAATTATTCTAATTGCTAAGCACTTCCTTCTTTATTCATCCGATCTGGTTTTCATTTTGAAATATTTAAAATGTTTGAGGCACTTTAATGTAAAATGTATACGTCAAAATTTTCAAACTCATACAGTTCAAGTATAAATTATGGTCTAATTGTTCTTCTATCAAAAGAACTTCTTCAACAACTTTTATATATTCCACATTTTTTGGTACGATGTTCTTTATTTCCAGTCAGAGATACATTGCCATTATTGCATTGTAATGTTAGCTTACATCAGTTTCCAACCACTTACTACAAAATTTCATCACACATTTTAGAAGAATTTTTAGAAACCACTATTGTTTAGTGACTATTAACTTTCTATAGCCACCATATACATAATTACTTCCTATAATTACTATTCAGTTGTTACGGTAGTGTATACGTTGTATTCATGCTGCTGTATTTATAAATACAGCAGCAAAATATGCCTAAAAATCAGGGTAGTCCAGTTGTACGTGCATGTATTCGCGCCATGTATTCATGAATACAGTAGCAAAAAGTGCCTAAAATCAAGGCAGTCCAGCTGTACGCGCATGTATTCACATGTATTCGCGCTGTTGTATTCATGAAGACAGCAGTGAAATTGCCTAAAATCAAGGCAGTCCAGTTGTACGTGCGTGTATTTGCGCCATATATTCATGAATACAACAGTAAAAAGCACCTAAAATTAGGGTAGTCCAGTTGTACTCGCATGTATTCACATGTATTCGTGATGTTGTATTCATGAATACAACAGTAAAAAGCGCCTAAAATCAGGCAGTCCAGCTGTACGCTCATGTATTCACATGTATTCGCGCCATGTATTCATGAATACAATAATGGCAATCACCTTAAAAATATGTATGTCTAGCTGTCTAAGAGAGAGGAAAAAAATAAATAACGTATTTCATGCCTCAATGGTAGTATATACCATAAATACTTATTTTGCTATAAAATATAAAAGGTAGCTATAGAAAATAATATTTTAAAATAATTTTAATTTATAATAAATAGAGTGTATACCTTTGCTATATGAGGTAAAATTTGGGAGAAATTAAAAAATAGTCAGATTTACAACGGTCGTTCAAAAATAGCCCAGTTTCAAAAGTAATCGAAATTTAGTCACTTTTCATGTAAAGATAAATTTGNGTATACCTTTGCTATATGAGGTAAAATTTGGGAGAAATTAAAAAATAGTCAGATTTACAACGGTCGTTCAAAAATAGCCCAGTTTCAAAAGTAATCGAAATTTAGTCACTTTTCATGTAAAGAT